TTGCAAAACAGCAGTTTTTCTGCCTATCTTCTGGAGGTCAGCTGCCTTAAAATATACAACTTACAATAACAATAGTCCATTTGCAAAATTAACAAGTTCTTTTTCTGACTGGGCATGACTTTTTAAAAATTTATTCATAATTTCAAAGAAATTATAAGAGAAAGTGTAACTTACCATTATATAGTTGGAGAAGGTCACACACACCATCATTAGTTTATGGACAATTTTCAACAGCTGGGGATTGGTTAACATACAGTCTTTAAGACAGTTGTTGAGAAAGTCTGTGTGGAATTTTAATACATCATCAACATTGGACACCTGTATAGTAATATAATAATATTAATACCAAATAATAATAATAATACAAAAACATTTATCAAACATGATAAAATTTTCAAGCTAGAAGCTACCATTATCAAGTTTTGATCCTTTAAAAATCTGAGTTAAAATCAGTAAATCTCAAGATTTGTGATGATCAGTATTTTAAAGTTGATTTTTCAAAAACATTTTTGATCTCATTCGTAAGAGATAAATGACCATAAGACTAAAAGCCCGAGATCAAGTGTCAGAGAAATTACGCCTCGCCCAAAGATCAAACTAGCAACTCTTTGAATACTAATCTGATGCTTTCACTATTAAGCTATGCAGGAGTTGAATACTAATCTGATGCTTTCACTATTAAGCTATGCAGGAGGGCAGCTTTTCATAAAAAGTAATAATAATTTAATCCTTAGATTTTAGATAATCTAGGGAACTTTATTATTAACAGAACATCTATGAATGAACCAAAATTGACAAAGCAAGTCCTTACCAACTTAAATAATTGAATTAAACTGAAAATTGTATCATTTTAGACAAAATTGGGAAAATTTACACTACTATTTTATCAAAAAATTGAAATATTTGGTTCACTTATAATCATGTTTTTAAAAACTGGAATGCAAAAAATAATAATACATTTTGCTGTGACACAGTGCATATAATACTTTTTTGCACTAGGGACATGACCCAATATTCAACATCAAAATGGGCAAAAAAATCCCAAGCAAACAAACTGTTGAAATACATACAGACAACATATTACTCTCAAAAATGAGCCAGCTTGGTTCCACTACTTCAAACATCATGTAGTATTCAAAGTTCTGTACAAAGTTCAACATACGTTGTCTGAGAGCGAAGGCAGCCGAGTACCATCTTGCTGATTGTAAACTGTACATCTTAGCTGACTTGTTACCCACCCAAACACTGTAAATTAGTTATAACATTTTTTATTTTCTAATTTGCAAAAAAGAAATATAATCTATTTCAGTAAAAAAAGAAAATAATCCTAATGGCCTTGTAGTATCTTTTTCTCTTCATTTGTTGAATTTAATGCCACACCTATGCTGTTTGTTAACAAGACATTCACTCTTGTTGTTCATCTGAGCATTAAAAACACAAGCCGGCATATAAGTGCATAATAGAGCAATCTAAATTATCCTTTTTTTTCTGAGACTGGCTGTTAATATTGCTTTTCTATATTTCATAAAATCTGTCCTAAATTCAAAACTAGTTACAGCAATGAGGCAAGGCAATCTAACTTACCTACACAGCTGTCTTTCAACATGTTTTGTGTAAAACAAATGTCTGAACAACATCTGGTATCTAGTTAATGCCTGGAGTTAATAAGAAACATGAACATTTAATACATTACAATACCTTGCAAAATACTCGAGATCTACATGATTCACAACTACATTTAGATCATAACTTCACCAGAAAAGCAAAGAAACTTTTCAGAGATAGTAAAACATCCATTTCACATATCAATTGCCTTTAAGAGTAAGTAATAATAGTAAAATCACCTACCAACTAAATATTTTCTAAGGAATATGTACAAATATATAGCAACATAAAAATATCACATAGCTTGCGTATACTATTGATTTTCACAAGACCTGTTAGATTTGTCAATATAAACTAATTTTCTCTGATTGACATGATGAAATGTCAGTTCAAAACTATGATGCCTACACTAAGTCTATTGTAATGGTCTGTATTACAATAATTTATTTACTTTTAAAACTGCATTGTGAATAAATTCCAGAGATTCAAACTAAGTAAAAATAAACTTTAAATTTAAATCATAATGATACTTGCATGTAAACTTATTTACTATATTTTCTTAAAAAAAAAAATAAATAAAAAAATAAAGGATGTGAAACAAACGTAACAAAGTGGGTTAGGTTTCAGTAAATTTATTAAAGACCAACGTTTCGGCTATTCAATAGCCTTCATCAGACAAACATATCAGAATTAACTACATTTTCTTTTGATAACTATTCTGGTAAATAAAATATATTTCATGAGATTGTTACTTACTTTTCTGTTTAACACTAAGGAAACTGGCCACTTTACAACATAATCAAATGAGAATGACTCCAGACCAGATAAATGTAGATCTGTAGGATCACTACGGAACTTCTTGTAATCTGCAACGATACAACAAATTTTACAATAATCTTTAACACTTACCAGAAAAGTCACAGATATTCTGAGAACATCACAATGAGACCAACTTTGTCGACAATATTTACATTCTTGTTTCAACCACTAGGAAATACTAATATTTCTTTAGAAAATAAACTGATATCTTCAGAAAATAAAAATTGGCATAATACATTTTCACAGCTCTAGACCTTCAGCCTTTTAAAAATTTTGAAAATAGGAGTTCACTCGAAAGATATGAAAACAAAATTTAACATGTGAAATTTCATACTCTGTTTCAGCCGGAGTGCGAGAGCTAGTTAAATTCGAGAATGCACAATTTTTAAATCTTATCATGGCAAAATATTTGACATGACTTTACAACATTCAGCCTTTGTAAACAACTACATATTGTAAAACTGTGACATAGAAAACATCAAAAGTTCAACATTCCTACCTCCCTCCATGCTGGTTTCTATGGACAATATTTTGAACATCTGTGTGATTAAATCATACTGCAAAAGATCCACTCTGAAATATATCAATGTTGTTTCCATTTCAAAATTTATCAAAATAACACATTCCTATATAAAACTTTATAGATCATGTTAATATTGTTACTTGCATATTGCATATAAAGTATAAAACTTTCAGCCAGAAACTAGATTTGATTAATCCAAAAGAAAAAAAATGTCATTAGAAAAATAACTTTGTTTTCAATAAAAACATAATAAATAACATCCTGTTAACAAATATTACAAGAATGTGAATGTTTTTTAAAATATTAAGTACTTTAACAAATTTTTTAAACAATACTTTTAGAATATAGTCTAGTAAGTGACACTAAAATGACACCATGTGTTCTTAAAAGTGTTGGCTAGACTTTTTAATCAAACAAAAATCAAAAACTTAACAAAAGAAAATATATAAAACCAACTTGAGATCATCTTTGTATGGATCTACATTGGCAGTGCTGGTACGTAGAGCAAGTTCTAGCAGAGATTCGAGCCTCTGTGGCATAATATTCTCAATGTCTAACTTCATCTCATCTTCTGTCATGTCCATAAACTGAACAATAAAATCTCCCTTGTCCAGTAGGAAATAATGCTTGATTGATCTGTGCAGAGAAAATACAACACTCAAATAATTGATTTAGAACATTTTAGATCCTTATCACCTGAAGTAAATATTGCTGAATGTGAAATAATTGCCAAAAATCCTGAAGAGGAAAATGATGGCACAGTTATATGGCAAATGAGTTACTTTTTGGAAACTGTAACAGGACACCCAAAATAAACTGCTTTTGGAAAAGAAAGATGAAAGCAATTTTGAGGCTTGATAAGCTTTAAAGGATATCACAGTATATATCAAATTCAATAAACAAACAATACTTTGCACTTCTTTTGTTTGAAAATACCATGACAAATATTTAGCATTTTAGAGTACCTTATTCTAGCGAGCAATTCTTTTTCTTCTATAAGTAAATCTAACAACAGTTTACTGGCATAACTATATGCTCTCTCTATCTGCTCAAAGTATTTCTTCTCCTTTAATGTATACACAACCTCCTCCGCATTTGGACATTTAACATCTCGACCTAAACATAGATAGATAATAATAACAAGGCAAATCTATAAATGTATAATTTTCTTTTTTAGTTGTGGCATAATTGTGGGAAAAATAATTAAAAAGTCACATTAAATGATTCATATACACTACCTATAGACTCAAAAAAAATAATAACAAAATACTGTCAGGCTTTGAAAATAAACAGATTTAAATATTAGTTTAGAAACTTATCTGTCACATATATCAAACAAAAAAAAATTAGCATAATATATTCATATGGTGTTTGATACAGTATAACATGCCGGAAATTAGTCACTTTAAGGCTGGTGAGATAACTTTTATTTCCTCAATAGTACTGACTAATCTGTTATCTTAGTATAATCCTATAATTGATCAACTTTTATGATAATGTATCAGTTGGTTTTAAAGCCAAATTGACACAGTATTACTGATGGAAGAGCACTATAAATGTCTTTTTGTTTTATTTCATGAAGCAGTTAGCACCTAGATATAACTACTGAGCATCCTGAAGTTATCTGAAAGAATGTACTATCACAAGCTTGATTCTAAATCAACAGTCAACAGCACGTGATAACTAGTGATTTAAATACTTGAGACTTCATACTATACACTTTAATACCATTTTAAAGTGATCTAACTCCATTGTAAAATATAGTAAGATAGAATTACATACCACATTGCCTTACAACATTCAGGTATTTCCCGGTGTTGAGAATTTTATCAGCCATTTGTTCTAGGAAGACAGGTATACGTTCTCTACATATTGTATAATGATGTTCCCAGTAAGTGAACCAGTGTTAAAGAACATAATTATTCTTATTCATTCAATAAAACAAACACATAATCTACAGAATATGTCAAAAGGATACTTTTAAATAAAATGTATTCTCTAATCTATTGCTGACTTATTCTTGGTGCCAAAAAGTTTACTTTGTACCATTAAATATAACTTCTTAACAATTGTATTTTACTTACTATTGTTCAGATTTACTTGTTTTAGAAATAACAAGATACAATTGATATTGAATAGCTTTACTTTGTATATGAAATCAAACTGATAATTTTTTTTTATTATAAGTATTTGTAAGCAGTACACTGTAAAAGGAACAACAAATATGGAGATATCACATTTGTAAAATAATTAAAGGATATTCATCATTGTATTCTTCCTGTAGTTTTTCTTTGTTGATTGTTTCATTCTCCTCTACCAGGAACTGTTGATATAAAGAAATACCATAATTATAGTTTTCTTTAAATATTTTGTCACTTCCAGGCTTTCACAAAACTTGACTGAACATTTAAGATAATAACAGGTTTTTGCAATCAGTAAAGATGGAAACTAGTAAGCATTTACATGCAGCATAACCTGTATCTATACTGTGCATTTTTTTTTAAATTTGAATCTTGAAATTCCTAATACTACAAACAGACCTTTTCAAATTCAAATTACAAATTTAACAGTAACTCTGTGTAGTTTGTAAAATAGCATTTAGTCGGTACAATTAAAATACTTAATCATATTCAAAGAAACTTTTACTTCAGATTCTTACCTCAGAATATGGATCATTTATGATTCCTTTATAAATCCACTTCTCTAATACCTCAAAGTATGGAACACATGCCTGATACAAGATAATATATAAAATGTTTTATAAGTTATTATACAAAATAGGCACTTATCTCAAAAATTTATCTGAAAGCAATTACAGAAATTTAATCTTGTTTGCGTATTTTTCTAGATTTTAACGCCAATTTTATATTTTTTGGTCATATCTCAGGGGTCGGTCCACTTAACTGACTTTTATGGATAACTAACCAGTAATAACCAATTTCTCCATAACTTGGTGACAAAACACCTTATCCCACATGAATTGTTCAATCAGCCACGAGAGGAATATTACTATTACACTCAATGTCCGAGATTAATTGTCAGGGAGAAATTTCACCTTGCCTGAGGGTCAAACAATTGACACCTGAATTACTAATCCAGTGCTCTCCCTAATGACTTGAGCAGGTAGACAATTTTAATCCTGTAACATACATGTACTTAAATTAGTCTCCAAGATCTACAAACTTGTAACATAACTTAAGTCTTAGTGTCATATGGTTGCTAATTTCTCAACATAAATCATGCAGATGAAATGGATTCAACAAAAATAGAAATTCAAAACTTTCCACAACAACATCACAGGACATAATAAATTTTAAGTACATTTGAGGTAAGTAAAGGGAAACAACTTACTGATTGTGTCAAATACAAACAAAGTTCTTGGCCTTTCACATCACTGAAATATTAGAACAATTTACATTAAGGACATACACTCCCAGAGTTGAAAATCATACCATAAATTACTATTATTTAAGCCTTTGTGAGTAAAGGTACATAATAAAGTAAATGTATATAATGTAACAAATAAACATATAACAAATTCAGCAAACAATATTTTTTACTTTATGACAGCAACAAAAACAGGATAAGTTAAAATAACTCTTACCCAATAAAACTGGATGTTTTATCATGTAACAAACTGAGCACTGCCCCACCAATACACTCTCCCTGTATAACAGTTATCATTCAACATTAGTTTGATTTACAAGTACATAAAACACCCAAGACTTAAAATTGCAAACTGATTAAATCTATCACTATTTACATATTCCTCATCGGAGAGGTATTTACACTCTGCCAACAATATTACATTCTACATCACCAAGATTCACCTCCCCCCCCCCCCTCTTTAAATTTATCTTTGCGAAAAAGAGGGCCTTCTCAAAGCCCAAGAATATTTTCCAAAAGTAATGAAAAATGTATATGTATTCCAAATTGGTTTATTTCGAAAGCCATGTTAAAATTTTGACACATAAATTATCTGTATGCTTTTATTTAATGACCTAAGCCTTCAATCTCACTTTAAATTATGACATAGATCTAACAAATAGTGAGAATGAGAAATTATTTCTCATAAACATTTCTTACCCTGTTTATTGAATTAGCTATAGATGCCATTATTTCCAGTGTTTTCATAGAAGGTTGAATATAAAACCATAACTTTTGTAAAGAAAGGGTGCCCTGAAATAACAAAATATGATATTGAAAAACTTCTTACAATTTATTAAAGTAAGCAAGTCATGTATTTCACAAACCACAGCATAGCTATATTTTCCTTCTAACCTCATTGGTCTTAACCTGGAATAATTAGCTTTTCACATTCCTTCTAGTTAATACTTAAATTGAGATTTTCTTTCAACAATTTTCGACAAGAGTGATCAAAGCAAATGTGGCATTAAAACAGCATAGATAACATAATGAATAAATCAAGTATGTTTCATACTTACCAGTCTAAGCTGTTGTTCTAACTGAGCAACCAACACCATATAGTCCTATAATAAAGTAAGGGAAGTTTTGTCTACAAATAATCCAAATATTCTCTCCAGTGTTAGTGCCATCATTATCAAATCTCAGGGATTTATTTGGGGCTGTTTTATATGCTTATTACTTTTTTACATGATTCTGACAAAATATATTAAAACACCAGAATTTATTTAAAGAGAACGTTTAACCAATCCTTGTAAGCATATATTGAATATACTTATCCTATTTATGAAGATCTAGTGTACCAACTTGCTTTAACATCACCAAAAAAATGATTGATGAATGAATATTATTTACTCCATAGCAAAAAGAAACAACATGTGAATATAGGTTTTAATCAACATGTGCATATAGGCTTTAATACGATAAAAATTCATTTGAGTCTGAAATATAGAACTATACATGAATACACAGGAATGATAATTTCTTACCTTAACAAGAGTTCTCATGGCAGAACTGAGGGCATGATTCACCAAACCATACTCAAATGCTGATTTCTCTAAAATACATAACAATTTACTTATTAGTAGAATACACATATATTTCTATTTTACCCTTTTCAACAAATGTATTAAAATTTAGCATTTCATACACTTAAGTTCTTTCTAAAAACAACTACTTTCAGCATTACAGTTTTCCCATGTCTGCACAAAGTTTTAAGAACACAGCATGCTTTAATAGAAAAATGATCAATTGAAAATATTTGGTTATTTTATTAGATTAAAACTAACATACCTTCAATAAATCGTACAACAGTGGAATAGTTGGATGAAAGTGGCAGAATTCTCTTCACCATTTCTAACAATGATGCATCTAAAATTATAACAAGAGTGATCAGTGATCACATGTGTCGCCTCATGATGGCCAATTTTATGTTGGGACAAGTTTTGTGACAGACGGACAGACAGACGGACAGTGCACAACTAGACTTGGTACTGATCATTCCTGTGAAGTTTGGATAAAATTGCACCAGTAGTTTATGAGGAGTAGTCCGGACAAGCTTTTGTGTATCTGGCAACACACAGAAAACAAGAGGGCCATGATGGCCCTGAAGTCGCTCACCTGTATATAGGCCCCCCGGAGCGGGGCCAGTTTAAACCCAAGGGCTTTTATGAAGACACCCATTAGAAGATGATTCATGCTAAACATCTAAGGTCTAGCTCATTGGGTTTTTTAAAAGAGATTTTTTTAAGTTTTTTCTTTACACATATATTTAAAAACAATGACACCCCTGGGGCAGGGCCAGTTTTGACCCCAGGGCTTTTATTTGAACAATCTTTGTAGACACTTAAGATGTTTCATGCTTAATATCTACACTCTAGCTATTTGGGTTTTTTCGAAGAAGATTTTTAAGTTTTTGCTATACACATATAAGGAAAATCAATGTCCCCCGGCGCGGGGCCAATTTTGACCCAAGGGCTCTTATTTGAACAAACTTGGTAGACATCCATAAGAACATGTTTCATGCTTAATATCTTAGCTCTAGCTCTTTGGGTTCTTTCAAAGAAGAATTTTAAGTTTTTACTATATTCATATAGGGAAAATCAATGACCCCCTGGGGAGGGGCCAATATTGACCCTAGGGCTCTTACTTGAACAAACTTGGTAGACATCCATTAGAACATGTTTCATGCTAAATATCTTAGCTCTGGCTCTTTGGGTTCTTTAAAAGAAGATTTTTAAGTTTTTACTATATGCATATAGGAAAAATCAATGACCCCCTGGGGCGGGGCCAATTTTGACCCAATGGCTTTTATTTGAACAAACTTGGTAGACACCCATTAGAAGATGTTTCATGCTAAATATCTTAGCTCTAGCTCTTTGGGTTCTTTAAAAGAATATTTTTAAAGTTTTTACTAAATACATAAAGGGAAAATCAATGACACCCTGGGGCGGGGCCAATTTTGACCCAAGGGCTTTTATTTGAACAAACTTGGTAGACACTCACTAGAAGATGTTTCATGCCAAATATCTAAGCTCTAGCTCTTTGGGTTTTTTAGAAGAAGATATCTGAAGTTTTTTCTTTTGGTTGCCATGGCAACCAGAGTTCTGCATGAAATTAAATTCTTTGAACAATTTTTAAAGGTGACCACCAAAGGAACATTCCTGTGAAGTTTATATGAAATTGGCTTAGTGGTTTATGAAGAGATGTCATTTAAAGTAAAAGTTTACGCATGACGGACAAACGCCGGACGAAAAGCAATCACAAAAGCTCACCCTGTCACAAACTGACAGGTGAGCAAAAAAACACCTTTTTATCAAAGGGCCATAACTCGGCCATAAATCATTGAACCGGAAAACCCGTGCAATACGCGCAAGGACTTGAGCTACAGATCAATCCTGTAATGTTTCAATGAAATTGCATTAGTGGTATAAGAGAAGTAGTCCGGACAAACTTTAAAAATAAGAACTATTAAAGGGCCATAACTCTGACAAAAATCATTGAACCGGAAAATGCTGACAATATGCACAACTAGACTTGGTACTGATCATTCCTGTAAAGTTTGGATGAAATTGCTCGAGTAATTTATGAAGAGTAGTGCCGACAAGCTTTTGTGTATCTGACAACACACAGAAAAAAACACCTTTTTATCAAAGGGCCATAACTCGGCCAAAAATCATTCAACCGGAAAACCCGTGCAATATGCGCAAGGACTTGAGCTACAGATCATTCCTGTAAAGTTTCATTGAAATTGCATTAGTGGTATAAAAGAAGTAGTCCGGACAAACTTTAAAAATTAAAATTATTAAAGGGCCATAACTCTGACAAAAATCATTGAACCGGAAAATGCTGACAATATGCACAACTAGACTTGGTACTGATCATTCCTGTAAAGTTTGGATGAATTGCACCAGTAGTTTATGAGTAGTCCGGACAAGTTTTGTGACGGACGGACAGACAGACGGACAGACAGAAGACGGAGAAGTGATCCGTATATGTCTTCAATAAGGTTTATTCTATGACTAAATATTTAAGTGTATTTACACAAATTATTACAGAGTTGCAAATGGGATGTTTAATTTATAAATTCTAACTTATTTTTCTGGTCTGTGTGTCAAGTTGCAACAACGTCAAATAAATTTTACCACTAATTATTGGCAAAATAATATACCTGCCAATCTGATCATTATTTAAGAATATCATATATGAGAACAACAGAGACACTAATAAAATAACTATTTGTAAAGTTATATAATGCAGTAAAAATGTTCATATAATCAGTTACCTAGACTCTGATCTATCATAAACTCTTTAGGGGCATATCTTTCTGTAAGTGCTCTAGCTAGAATATACTTCCCTTCTATGCCCTGAAACATAGAAATATATCTTCTTATACCTACAAGATAATATTTGTTGTCACATATAAATTCCATACAGTATTCACATTTTAAACCAGTATTTACAATGTCTTAATAAAGTTATATTACTCTGCACAAGTAGCTAACATAGAACAATCTCTGTATGATCCAGCATTACACAATTCAGGGTGTCTCTTTTGTCACAAGGAAACCCTAAACAGACACTTTCTGTTAAATAATTTTCCAAACTTATGATTCATTTTCTATTAAAAACACTTGTTTTACAACAGTATATCCACTAAATACATAAAACATAACATATACAACTTGGGTCCACAGTCCTTATTGCCCCTGTTAATGAAAATGTCGAACTTGTTTAGAACAGGATACACTAAGTTAACAGTGTCATTACCTGCATACAACAGAGAAGATCATCTAAGATGGCTTGTTCCTGCATCATAGTTGGCAAGTTTCCAAGTGGCACAATATTCTGTAATAAATTCAACTTCTAACTACTTTTACTATATAATGTGTCAAATATCAAATAAAGAGGAGACCAACAATATTTCAAAATATCCTGTTTTTTCTTTGAGCCACTTATACAATCAGAGTTTAAGTACCAATGTCTAGAAAAATGAAATAAAAAAAACTTGGAAATTCTCCTACAAGGTGAGAAGGGGCCAACCATTATTCCAAGACAACGGCCAACCATCATCAGATTTAACTGACAAAAAAAAAACACACTCATTTGTAAAGAAAATTTTAGAAAGAAACACAAGTCAAAATCTTTTAACTATTGCTTTTAAATCAACATATCATATACTTTCATTGGATAACAATAACTCAGTATTGTTTTGCTAATTTAAATATAAATTTTGCAAGACTGCATCAACATTTGCAGCACTATAAAAGTTTAACAGAACAATCATAGTATAAGCATTGTACAACTAAATTTTAATGCTTACAGAATCTGTCGGTCCATCAACTCCTACAATAAAGTCCATAGTGAGAGCTGATCTCTGAAATAACCACTCTGGTTGATGTGGCAAGTTTACTGAAAATATCACAAGTCATATGCTGAAGATAAATGACATTACCTAGTAATGTAACATTCACAGACTTTAATGTTTTCAAGTAGAAGTACTCTCTAAGATTTTATTAAAACATAAATGTTTTGATATCATAAAAAATACAAATTTCCTGATTTTCCTATTTCATATTACACAGCATTCAATAAGTAGCTATTGAAAATGACAAAGCATGTAAACACAAGACTATGCGAAGGAAATAAAAATTAGCAATGTATAACTAAAGAAAGCTACTAGAATAATTCATGTATTAAAAATACATTGCAGACAAAAAATTTGAGAAGAGACAAAACTTTTCACAAATGAAATCCAGAGTAATTAAAAACAAGAGGGCCATGATGGCCCTGAGGTCGCTCACCTGTATATAGGCCCCTGGAGCAGGGCCAGTTTAAACCACAGGGCTTTTATGTGAACAAACTTGGAAGACAGCCATTAGAAGATGTTTCATGATGTTTAGTTTTACTACACACATATCATGTAAAACAATGACCAATAGACAACCATTAGAAGATGTTTCATGCTAAACATCTAAGGTCTAGCTCGTTGGGATTTTTAAAAGAAATTTTTTTTTTAAGTTTTTACTATACACATATAGTTAAAAACAATGACACCCCTGGGGCCGGGCCAATTTTGACCCAAGGGCTTTTATTTGAACAAACTTGATAGACACCCATTAGAACATGTTTCATGCTAAATATCTTAGCTCTAGCTCTTTGAGTTCTTTAAAAGAAGATTTTTTAAGTTTTTTACTTTATGTATATAGGGAAAATCAATAACCCCCTGGGGCGGGGCAAATTTTGACCCAGGGCTTTTATTTAAACAAACTTGGTAGACACTCATTAGAACATGTTTCATGCTAAACATCTTAGCTCTAGCTCTTTGGGTACTTTAAAAGAAGATTTTTTAAGTTTTTACTATATGCATATAGGGAAAATCAATGACCCCCTGGGGCGGGGCCAATTTTGACCCCAGGGCTTTTATTTGAACAAACTTGGTAGACACTCACTAGAAGATGCTTCATGCCAAATATCTAAGCTCTAGCTCTCAGGGTTTTTTAAAAGAAGATATTTAAAGTTTTTTCTTTCGATTGCCATGGCAACCAGAGTTCTGCATGGAATTAAATTCTTTGAACAATTTTTAAAGGTGACCACCAAAGGAACATTCCTGTGAAGTTTGGATGAAATTGGCTTAGTGGTTTATGAGGAGATGTCATTTAAAGTAAAAGTTTATGGACGGACGGACGGATGCCGGACGGACGCCGGACGAAAAGCGATCACAAAAGCTCACCCTGTCACTTTGTGACAGGTGAGCTAAAAATCTAAATAACATATCTCAACAAAAAATTTGATAAGAGATTGATAGAGATAAAAACGTTTCACAAATGAAATCCAGAAGAATATTAATAACATACTTCAACACAAACATTATAATATTTTACCATTTCTTTGAACTTGTTTCTCTCGTAAGGCTTTCCTCAACATTTCAGATGATGTGACCTGTGACACAGCTGGCCCTTCCTTCAATTTTCTCAACTGCATTTGTAACTGTAGAAGATAGATAGATGTTATAAGAAATGGCAATAATATCAATTTGGAGCAGCCTCTTCTAGTTTGTTCCACGTGGTGTTAAAAATAATTATTTCAATTCATGTATGACAATCCTGTTGATTATGTTGGTTTTATTTTACAGGTAACACTAGCATCACAGTAAAATGATTGTCGTGCAAATCTTATTACATTATCTATTTGATATCACAAACAAGAATTGGCATACAAATCATGACACTGTTTTATGATGTCATTTTACTCACATCAAAGAAACAATCACTAGACCTAGCTTATATATTTATCTAATTTGTAAGTATCATATAAAATGATATACAAGAAAGATGAATAACCATTTTGTATATGTATATTACAATATGAATCATTCAATGATTTAGGGCATTTTTCTACAACATTTACAATTGATTCACCCATTTGCAACTTCATTAACTCTTTTCTACAGCATTTAAAAGTTAAGGAACATCAAAGGTGAAAGTCTATAACTAGTTCTAAGTATTTATTAACCAACCTTTATCTATCAATAAAAAATATGTTAGAATTTTTGGTGTAAATTTCTATTTTCAAACTAGAAAACCTATGTTTGACAGAATGTAAACATGATTATGATAAAACTTAATGAAAAGAATAGCATATACAGTACCGCAGCAACATTTAGCAGTATGTATGTCTGCATAGACTATAAATGAGATATAGACATGAATAATGTCAAAATAGCTGTCCAGTTAGCTCAATAGGTAGAGTGTTGGACTGTGAATCGGGCGACCAGAGTTCGATCCCCAGACGTAGCAGGTCACTTTTGTTGTGAATGATCATGAAATCTTTTCTACGGTCATTCGTACTGTACCTCTGCTCTGGCATGTACAGAAGTTTCAGTTCCTTGCGAAAGTGAAGGCAACTAGTACTGGTAAACTGCTTGACAGCCTGCCCAGGAACAATGCAGTGGTTGAACTGTGCTCTGGGTAAATTCAATGTGGCTTACTGCCATGATCCGGAGTGAAAACTACTAACACCACCAATAACGTCATGAAATATTGTCATATAGTATATCATGTACCTCAACAACATTCTGTGGTGTATATTTCTGTCCAGCGGCAGGCATCTGTGGAATATCATGTGGAGTTATAGTTGCCCCTTGTATCTCTGCTTTATCTCTGAAATTCTTCTCTAGCACTGCTTTTGTCTGTCAAGTCAAACGTTATTTAAACTAACTCAAACATCAAAATAATACAAACTTTGTAATATTATTTAAATTCCTTAGTTCTTCAGTTGCAGACAAAATAAAACAATTTTTGTTTGTTTACAATGGATACTAAGCATTTTTATTTTATCAACATGAAATTTCCTCAATCTTGCCATAATTCAGACCATTACCATTTCTAAATAAACTAACCTTAAAAGTTTTTATGCTACTTTGTAAAACCACTATCCCATGAACATGTTGTGCAAAAATGCCTCTTATTTTTCTAAAAGAATTGAGTTTCAACATTACTTTAAACATTGCATAAAACTTACCATAATATTAAACTAGAAAAATTGCTTCGATTTTGAACCAAATTATTTTAGCATAAATACTAGTTAAATGCACAACACAAATGTCACTAACCTGTTCTTCCTCACTCAATTTTGACATAAGAAAAACCAATGGATCCAAATCTCGTACACTGAAATATTTGTGAACAACAGTGTCAAAACTCTGACAATGTTAAAATATTTTACTTTGTAACAAGAAACATTTGCATATTTTTAAATGCATGACTTGTAAAGACTAATTAGAAAATAAACATAGCAAAGTCATTAAATAAAACACATCTGAAGGAATATTTGATAATCAAATGACTGATTGTTTCTCAATAGAACAATTGAGAAATTATACCATTTGGCTTAAATGCAATACGTGTCAATTTAAAAATCTAGTTTTGAAGTTGTTCAAGCTTTTTCTATATAAAAGACTTAGCTAAGGATGTTGGTCAACACTGCATGTTCACATAGCTAAGCTTATGTTAACCAAATATAAATACTGTATATTCAACATAAATAAACATTGACCTGACTTTAAAGATGAAGTTTTAAAGTGTTCTTCACAGTCCGACCAACTTACTTTTTAGATTTTAGCTCATCATACTTAGCAAGGAATTCTATTGGTGTTTTTGATGATTCGGCTATTTTCCTCTTAGCTTGATTTGCAGATACCTTTATCAAGAATATGAAAATATTTTAACACATTTTTTTTTTATTTTCATTTATATTACAGACTTGTTTATCATATCTGTTCAGTACAAAATATAATTACTGTTAAAGAGTGAAACTTTTAAGTTTTTTCTTTCATTCTCTTACTTAAGTGTTTAACATCAATATATTTACAACATGTAATGTAGGACATGTAATTTTATGTAATTAAACTGTTGGAAATTAGACTAAAAATGCTCTATAGCTTTTTAAAGCTAAAGCATGACAGATTAATCATTAATTTCTAAGCTATAAAAAATATCACATGTACAAATTTACCACAAAAAAATGGTAATGTAATTCTATCATTAGTAGTATAAAGGGTATGAAATTAATATTCCTACATTAGTGGTTATGTATGGTGTTGTATTCTTTAATAACATCTCTGTGTATACTTCAGCACCCACTGTATCAGTTGAACGGACACTAAAAGTCAAAACAACATGTAAGAAATAACTAGAATGAGTTAAGCTTTTATTTTTATATGTATTCTTGTTATGAACATAATGATTTTACAAGGCTTTAATCACTGATAGGGGAAGAGGTCCTTGGGGGAAATAATACTTTTGCAAAATGGGAAGAAGAACACTTGATATAAACTGAATGAATTTTAGGCGAAAACAGCAAGATTTTAAAGAATTTCCTGAGAGGAAGAGGCATTTTAAATAGCACCTGCTATAGAAGGGACAAAAGCCCTGTTTAACTTACCTAAAATCACTTGGCTTATATTGATTTTATTAAGTATTAACTAAAATGATTCAGACTTAGTTACATTGTAAGTAACTGTAATACTCTGAATTATATCTGCTGAAAAGTAATTCATTATAAATGCATCTTCATATCATCAGAATGTCATTAGTTCATAGAAAACTTTATGAAAGTTAGCTTTAATGTAAAGCATATGTATGATGGTTTTAAAAGTTTGACAGAATAAGTTAATTGGAGAAAACTAGAGTTGCCAATGATTCAAACCAAAGCATATCAATCATGCATCAATGTTTCAATATAAAAGTCCTTGATGAAATTCCGAAAAATACAATATCAAAGCAAAAGTTACCAGTAGTCAGCAAAGCTAATACTTACTCTAGCTGGTTCATCAGCTCACTAACATGGTGGTGTACCTTAAATTCACTCATTGTGGTCTTTTTGCAACTTAGTTAAATACTTGTAAGTGTTGTAGATAATAAAACCTGGAAAGGAAGCATAAAAAATAGGAATTAATTTTATAAAAACTGAACAAATCTTTTAAGTACACTCACCAATCGCGACATCATATTTCCTGCCTGATTTCTTTTGTAAATGCTTTCAACATAATGTTTTTGTACTTATATACATACCGAAAACAAATAAATTTTGATTTGATTGTACATCTACAGTGATTTTTTTCCTGTATTTTTACAGCCGAATAAAGGCTGTTTCCCCTGGCTCAAAATAGGTATATTTTCCCCTTAAAAAGCTTATATTTTCCCCTGAAATGCCCTGTGCACTTCTTCACCAGAACAATGACTAATAACAGCATCTGACTTAATATATCAGCTAGAAGACAGAAATCTGTCCCTATAGCCTCTGCTATGTACCATGCATGTTAAATTGAATTAAAATTAAAAATTTATAAAATGTGTGGGTAAATTCCATTCTCAGTTGTTGGAATTCGATTTTCCCCTTTTTAGATTTATTGCGCTATATTTCCCTTTAGAAAGCCCGAGGTTGTTTTGAAAATTGGGGAAAAAATGACTGATATAGCATAATTTATGACAAAAAAAATTGTAGCTAAAGAGACTTCATTGAACAGGTTTAATAGCAGGGCACATCCTGGGGGGAAATTTTAGGGAGAAGTGACTTCCTCACGAAAATTAGGGAGAAGGAAAACAACCCAATGTGTTTGCATTAACATGCATGGCTTTACATCCTTTAACTATAATATAAAAACAATTAACAACACTTAAAATATTTCTACAGTTTATTAATTAATAGTAGATCTGGCAATGACATCTAAATGTTTTTGAGCTGCAAATATGAATAAATAATAAATAAATTTACATCTATTTATCAGCTTTCTCTAAATATTTGTTTTTATTTAATTTTACCCATGAAATATGGTGCTATATCAGTCAAATATATTTCATATTTGTAAAAATTAAATATGAAATATAAATATGAAATTGGGCTCATATTTATTTTAGGGGACTTCTTTCTCCATTTTGTTTACAAAATCTGATAAATAAATAACAAATTTTTCTTGAATATTGTTTTGAAAACTATCTAGCATGATAGAAAATGGTCTAACTAAGAAAATTAATCCGAACACCAATATCTTTAATTCAGTAATTAACGATGTACAGACGTTTAAAGAGTTGTTTACATGACGTCACAATGTAGGGCCAAACAGCGCTTGCCTACGCATAAATTACTGCGCGCTGTACAATTGCAGTTGGTAGCAAGCAAGGGGATTCGTTACCATTTTCTTTGATAATAAAATTAAATAAAAAGGCTATTTTTTTGTTTTTCGTGAAATATGGTATATATTTTCACTCAACATGATAAAATACCACATATTTTCACTCGCCGTACCAGCTCGTGAAAATATGTGGCATTTTATCATGTTTCGTGAAAATATATTCCATATTTCACACAAACGAAAAAATATCCTCTATATATATTTTCATGTAGATTTGTTGATTAAATAATGTGTAAGAAAAAATATGATGAATAAATTAATTTTATATTTTTACTTTCCTCACTTTTTAAAGATTAAGTTTATCTGTTCTATTCTGTTCTGATAACAGAAATTTCTTTTCAGATCCTGAATGTTATAATGTCACATGAAAGTGAAAATTTATATATGCATATAATTATGCTTTTGAAATAATTTATAAACATCAAAGAATATGTAAAAAATGTACTGCAAACATTTGTGCACACTAAATTTGATCACTAAAATTATATACATTCATTCAAAATTTGAGAAATTATAGAAAATAAATTTCTAATTACCTCCCTTTATTTTCATGAAATGTTAAATTTGGTAATATCTTTATAAATAATGCTTTTTGAAATTTACAATATTGATAAATCTTAATCTGAGCGTCATATTTATGACATTAAAACAAATATATTTATTGAAACAATAAGAACACTTCTTTCCTGGCAAATTTTGTTGTTATATACATTACATGTACGACCGGTATGTAGCATGACGATAATGATTCGTAATTTTAGCCAGGATGTCGCGCCCATGTGCATAACTTGATAAGCTGTGCCAAATTTGGCATTTCTACAAAGAGAACAATGCCAAACACCCTCACCGTCTACAACATACCAATCGTAAGATTTTGCGAATTGGCTTTCTTAAATTTTCCAGTACGTGTATCTAACTTTCTTTTACTGCTAGCTTTGGGCATTTCGCCCTGTAGCCATAACGTGAGCAACATAAGAATTTTAAAGTAAAAAATTGATGTGAACGGACTTAAATCATTCAAAACTATGAATAAGTTTTTAATCCGGTCGCTGATCATTAATGAAATTGATTACTTTTTAATTGACTAACAGTTTTTTGATAGCCGTGAAAAATCCATTGCACCTCGCCTTTGCTCGGTTGAAGTGCATTGTGTATATCAATCGTGTTTAGATAATCGGGGGAAAAAAATGTATAATTATCGCCTAATCCTGTATTTAACTCGCAGAACTGTCACACAATTATACCCTTTTCCGGCCGATGCTCTCATCATTTACTGTTTAGAGTAGGCAGTCTATCGCTTCGCATACAGTATAAGCGTAGTACTACATAAAGCGATAATGATAATTAGCAGTCGTCATATGGGCGGGATACAATCTCTGCTCTTAACATCGCCAAGAAATTACTCTTTGGGAATTAAGATTTTATCGGTGAATTTGACTTCTCTTTGATCAATCGGGAGAGCGAAATGGGAATATACACGGCAAAGTCTTCGCCTGAATCGCCCTTCCGGATGAGCCCTGAATAGTATTGCTGGACCTGTTAGCACATGTCAAAATAAAATCAACATATAAAGTTATGGAAGCCAGAACTAAAAATTAGGCAGCATTACAGGGACTCGAACCCATTTGAATAACATGAAAATCTTTCGTAACTTGGACATACGGTGGTAAATTCATCAAGTATAACTAGTGTAACTTCTATGATGTTGAGTGTATATAGACTATTTTGACAGTTCCTATTTTAATTTAAATTTCATAGAGGTTTGTCATGTTCATAGGGACCCGGCACAGTGTTGGGATAGTGTAAAAAAGTAATTCTAGAAAAAAATATATAGTTTATACGCGGAAAGTCCGAGCGGGGCCAAAGGCCCCGCGAGGGCTGTAGCGCTCTTAGATAACATGTATGACGCGTATCAATTCAAATGAAATCAAAATGAAAGTAAATGAAAATTTCAAAAAAATATATATCCTATACCCAATGAGCTGTAAAAAAATCCTTAGTTATAGGGTGCCGCCATTTTAAAATCCTTTTGAGCTAAATATAGATATCAGAGCGCTTTTAATGAGCGTCTACAAAATCCAGACCATTGCTTGCAGACGCATGCTAAATAACACTTCCGGTGAAAGAATGATGTGCAAGATCAGAAAAAAAAACATTCATTTCATTGATAAGAACTATAGTAACGATTATGAACATAAAATGTTACTTTAACATATCCTTATTGATAAACAAGATATGTTTGTAAAACATGTATGCCCCCTATCAGCAGCCAATTAGTCATGTGATAAGGTTATTATGCATGACTTCTGACCCAGTGATCAAACAATTAATAAGGGTTATAAAGTATCTACTAATCATGACTTTGACCCCTTGACCCAAAACTCAATAGGGGTCATCTGCTGGTCACGACCAATCATCATACAAAGTTTGAAGTTCCTAGGCCTAGGCGTTTTTAGTAAATTGATCAGAAACCGTTTTTACCTACAAGGTCAATGTGATCTTGACCTTTGACCCCTTGACCCCAAAATCAAAAGGGGTCATCTGCTGGTCATGACCAATCACCATGCCTAGGTTGAAGTTCCTAGGCCTAAGGGTTCTCTTATTATTGATCGGAAACCGTTTTAACATACAAGGTCAATGTGACCTTGACCTTTGACCCCAAAATCAATAGGGGTCATCTGCTGGTCATGACCAATCACCATGCCAAGTTTGAAGTTCCTAGGCCGAAGCGTTCTTTAGTTATTGATCAGAAACCGTTTTTACTTACAAGGTCATTGTGACCTTGACCTTTGACCCCTTAATCCCAAAATCAATAGGAGTAATCTGCTGGTCATGACAAATCACCATACCAAGTTTGAAGTTCCTAGGCCTAAGTGTTCTTGAGTTATTGATCAAAACCGTTTTTACTTACAAGGTCAATGTGACCTTGACCTTTGACCCCTTCACCTAAAACTCAATAGGGGTCATCTGCTGGTCATGACCAATCATCACACAAAGGTTGAAGTTCCTAGGCCTAAGAGTTTTTAGTAAATTGATCGGAAACCGTTTTTTACCTACAAGGTCAATGTGACCTTGACCTTTGACCTCTTGACCCCAAAATCAATAGGTCATCTGCTGGTCATGACCAATCACCATACCAAGTTTGAAGTTCCTAGGCATAAGGGTTCTTAAGTTATTGATCGGAAAGCATTTTTACCTACAAGGTCAATGTGACCTTGCCCTTTAACCCCTTAACCCCAAAATCAATAGGGGTCATCTGCTGTCATGACCAATCACCATACCAAGTTTGAAGTTCCTAGGCCTAAGGGTTCTTTAGTTATTGATCGGAAACCGTTTTTACCGAAGAGGTCAATGTGACCTTGACCTTTGACCCCTTGACCCCAAAATCAATAGGGGTCATCTACTGATCATGACCAATCACCATCTCAAGTTTCAAGTCCCTAGGCCTAAGGGTTCTTTCATTATTGATCGGAAACCGTTTTTACCTACAAGGTCAATGTGACCTTGACCTTTGACCCCTTAACCCCAAAATCAATAGGGGTCATCTGATTGGTCATAACCAATCACCATACCAAGTTTGAAGTTCCTAGGCTTTAAGGTTCTTTAGTTATTGATCGGAAACCGTTTTTGCTTAAAAGGTCAATGTGACCTTGACCTTTGACCCCTTGACCCCAAAATCAATAGGGGTCATCTACTGATCATGACCAATCACCATACCAAGTTTGAAGTTCC